AGAATATAAAATACATTTCGGCCCTGTTTCATGATGGTATGGGCGTGCAGAGTTTTTTTTTTTCTTTTAGCAACCACTAAAATATTCATCAGCATGGACCAACTAATTTGAAATTAAAGTAACCTGAAGCACATATGTGTTCATTCGTAAAGCAGAAACTCTCAATCTCCTCACATTCTGTATAATACAGAAAGGGAGGGGTATTTTTTTTTTTTTGACCATGCTAAAAGAAGATCCTTCTTTCATAAGAACATAGCATGCACTGAAGCCAAATCACTGCTTTGCAATGCCTCTCTTTTCCTTTCATGGTATGATTATTTTTCCTTCTCCCTCTTAAAAAAAAATCAGATGATAAAATTAGGCAATTAGTCTAGTACACCAAACCAAATCATTTAAAAATTTTCTTCAAAATATACTAAGCTATCTAAGACAGGGACTGATTTCAGAAGAGAAATTGTATACATGAACCAGAGGGAAGAGGATGGTTTTGATCCCACGCATCTCCCACGCATGCGCAGATGAAGCTTCACTCACTCTCACGCCGTTTATGTGGCCCGGTTCTTAAAAGGCCATAGACCAGTATCAGTCCGTGGCCTGGGGGTTGAGAAGCCATGCTCTAAGACATGCAAATAACTATCCTGTTATCATAGGAGAAACATCGGTGTAAGCATAAAAAAGGCTCATGAGCTGCCACAGGAGAACAATGAGCCTCTGAAATTCCATTTCAGGGAACATAAATTAAATTTAAGATCTAACCTTATATATATAGGGTTTTTAGGTGAACCAAGATTTTAATTTAAATCTGCAAGGGGGTGATGGTGGTGGAGGGTGAAAGTGAACACCTTCTATAACCGTGATGGTGAACCTATGGCACGTGTGCCACAGGTGGCACACGGAGCCATATCTTTGGGCACGCATGCTGCTGCCCTAGCTCAGCTCCAGTACGCATTCCCCTCCCAGGAGTCTCCACCCAGCCCGTTTTGGATGCCAGGTAAGTACAGGGCTTGCGCAGAGGCTCTGGGAGGGTGTTTTCAGTCTCCGGAGGGCATCCGGGAGGCTGGGGGAGGACATTTTTGCCCTTCCCAGGCTCCAAGAAAGCCTCTGGAGCCTGGGAAAGACGAAAAATGGGCCTTCCGGGCCCACCACTAACCTTTTTGCCAAAAGCGTGGGGAGTGTGGGAGAGTCGCATGTGCATGCGTGGGGTGGGGTGCAGGGGGCATTGAATTGTGGGTGTGGGCATGCCCGCGCATGATTCCTTCACGCTCCCCCCGCTTTTGGCACGCGACAACAAAAAGGTTAGTCATCATTGTTCTATAACATCTTCTATAACAGCAAGATGCTTTGAGAACATAGAAGGGGCATTAGGACAACAGAAAGTTGTCCTAATGGATTTGGGAATTTACAGGAATATTGCTCTTAGAATGGACATGTCACAGCATGAAATGGATATGTATTGAATTGAATTAATTGAATTGAATTGAATTGAATTGAATTGAATTGATTAAATTTTTATACCGCCCTTCTCCCAAAGGGACTCAGGGTGGTGAACAGCCAGGATTAAAATACATATAATATGAAAATTAAAATAGTTTAAAACTAGTAGGCTGATGACACCCAGCTGTACATCTCCACCCCAGGCCACCCCAACGATGCCCTTGAAGTGATGTCCCAGTGCCTGGAGGCTGTGCAGATCTGGATGGGGAGGAACAGGCTCAAGCTCAACCCTTCCAAGACTGAGTGGCTGTGGCTCCCGGCATCCAGATATAGTCAGTTGACTCCATCACTGACTATTGGGGGCGAGTCTTTGGCCCCCACAGAGAGGGCTCGCAATCTGGGAGTCCTCCTAGATATGCAGCTGTCCTTGGAGGAACATCTGACGGCTGTAACCAGGGGGACCTTTTGTCAGGTTTGCCTGATTCGCCAGTTGCGGCCCTTTCTTGATCGGGATTTCCTGTGCACAGTCACTCATGCCCTCGTCACCTCTCACCTTGACTACTGCAATGCTCTCTACATGGGGCTCCCCTTGAGGAGCACCCGGAGGCTCCAACTGGTCCAGAACGCAGCAGCATGGGTAGTGACGGGAGCAGCATGGCGCTCCCATGTAACACCGCTTCTGCATGAGCTGCACTGGCTTCCGGTGGTCTTCCGGGTGCGCTTCAAGGTGTTGGTCATCACCTTGAAAGTCTCCATGGCATAGGGCCTAGCTATCTTTGAGACCGCCTGCTGCTACCAACAACCTCCCATCGACCCGTGCGCTCCCACAGAGAGGGCCTCCTCAGGGTGCCATCAGCCAAACAATGTAGGCTGGTGACCCCCAGGGGAGGGCCTTCTCTGTGGGGGCATCTACCCTCTGGAATCAGTTGCCCCCAGAGATAAGGAGAATCCAAGACCTCAGTGCCTTCTGCCGTGCCCTTAAAACCCACTTTTTCCAGCAACCTGGGCTGGCTTAAGAAGAAACTTTTAAATGTTTTAATTGGTTTGTGATTTTTAATTTTTGGGCCAAATTTATATATATTTTAATTGTTTTTTAATATTTGTATTTCATGTTCTTAATTCTGGCTGTACACTGCCCTGAGTCCTCAAGGAGAAGGGCGGTATATAAATTGGAAATAAAATAAAATAATATAAATAATTAAATCCATTTGGCTTCCCAATTTAAAAACCCCTTACCCATAAACCAATTAAAAATGTTAAGCCAGCCCGGCTTGTTGAAAGAAGAAGGTCTTCAGAGCCCGGCAGAAAGTACGGAGGTCCAGGATCAATCGTATCCCTGGGGGTAGCTCGTTCCAGAGGGCGGTGCCCCCACAGAGAAGGCTCTCCCCCTGGGGGTCACCAGTTGACATTGCTTGACCGACAGCACCCTGAGGAGACCCTATCTGTGGGAGCGTATTGGTCAGTGGGAGGTTGTCGGTGGCAGAAGGTGGTCTCGTAGGTACCCAGGCCCTAAGCCATGGAGCGCTTTAAAGATGAGAACCAATACCTTGAAGCGCACCCGGAAGACCACCGGAAGCCAGTGCAGCTCATGCAGGAGAGGTGTTACATGGGAGCGCCATGTCACCCCCATAATCACCCGCGTGGCTGCATTCTGGACCAGTTGGAGCCTCCGGGTGCTCCTCAAGGGGAGCCCCATGTAGAGAGCATTACAGTAGTCCAGGTGGGAAGTAACGAGGGCGTGAGTGACCATGCATAAGGAGTCCCGATCCAATTGGCATATCAGGCGAACCTGATAAAAAGCTCCCCTGGCCACGGCCATCATATGCTCTTCTAAAGACAGCCGTGCATCCAGGAGGACGCCCAAGTTATGAGCCCTCTCCGTGGGGGCCAATGACTCACCCCCAATAGCCAGCGATGGCACCAGCTGGCTATATCGGGATGCTGGCAACCACAGCCACTCGGTCTTGGAGGCGTTGAGTCAGAGCCTGTTCCTCCCCATCCAGACCCACATGGCCTCCAGGCACCGGGACATCATTTCAAGGGCATCACTGGGGTGGTCTGGTGTGGAGATGTACAGCTGAGTATCGTCAGCGTACAGATGGCACTGCACCCCAAATCCACAGATGATCTCACCCAGTGGCTTCACATAAATGTTGAACAGGAGAGGTGAGAGGACCGACCCTTGCGGCACCCCACAAACATATGGAGGCAAGAAAACTTAACTTAACCATAAGGAGTCCATGTAAAGCCTGTGATATATAATTGTTGCAAATAAATAAATAAGTCAATTTTCTTAAAGATTATCAATGTGTTTTTAATCTCAACCCACGGTTTAATATAGGATCTTCCTCTTATATACCCATCACATTAAAAAAAATATGACATTGTCCTTTAATAATCCAACTTTTCAGGTAAATTGAAGATTATTTTTATCCTGGAACTTAAAATAACTTTGGTGTCCAATTCATGTAAATCACTTGATGGCATTAAGAATGATTTAAGTTTCCTTGTAAACCTAAACCTGTAAACCACCTAAAATCACCTTGTGGTAAAATGGGCAGCAAATAAATTAAATAAACAAATAAATAAAATAAATACTTGCTGAGTCAAGTAATTTTCCATTTTAGAATCATCTTACAGTAATAAAAAAGCTGATAATTATATCTAACTATCACAGTCATAGACTGGTCATAGCAAAAATTTAAAAGATTTAATTTAATCTAAATGTTTCAGCTCATGCATCCTTCTGGAACTTAGATTAAATTTTGGAATTCAGTGGTGTAAGTTTCCTGAGCTAAAAATCTACAAGACTTTTTTAAAATGTACAGTAGAAATGAAATGGCCTGTGTCACTTTCTCTCAAGCAAAAGTTCAACTAACATACAATGCTTAAATAATTTGGGGTTAATCTTTGGTCATGTTTTGGTCTCTGAAACAGTATCACTTTCACAAACAAGACTCCAGTGACCCCTCTGTGGGGTCATTCAAAATGTAAGCCAACTCTTACAGTTAGATCTTCTCAGTAACATTTCCCTCAGATTTTCATGAAACATTCAGTCTATAGTATATATATTGTTCAGAGAAACACAGACGTAGAATTATCTTTTTATTATTATTAATATATCTCAATGGCCGGGAACACTGACCTACTGTCTAAATACTCCCACTCTCTTTGGCCTCACTTGTTTCATTCCTTTTGTGTGCCTTGCCAGCTGAGCATTTTTTTTTATGCATTCTCAAAATCTATCTTGTTTTATTTTAATTATCCTTGTTTCTTGTACCTTACAATTATATGGATCATACAACAGCATTAAAAAAAACCAAAATCTATTGTATTATGTTTTCTATGTATCAAATAGAAAGTATTCGATACATAGAAATATCATGCCAAATTATTACCAAATAAAGCTACGTATATTATTTGTGTTCCAAGCTAAAGAAATTCATTTTCAAGAAGATATTTACACCAGTACAGTTTGCCAATAAACCTGCTTATTAATCCAAGCACTGAAATAGTGTCTTGCCACATAACAATGGACAACATATTTTTTCCAAAATTTTACTTACTGAAAAACGTTGGGTGATTATGATAGACCCCTTCAAACTGAACACAAATACAATTTCAGAATGACTGTATCATGTAGGAATCTGGAAAAATATGAAATTAACTTTCAATGACTATAATATATTTAATCATATATTAAATATTTAATCATAAATTAAATCAAGAACGCTGAATGAGTTCAACAGCAGTGTTTGCTGCTAATTTTCATTTGTATTCAGTATCCAATACATTTTGCTGCAGAGACCAACAATAATCAACCAGGAATGATGGATTTCAGTTGCCCTGATACTGTTTTTCCATTTTAGCAATGTCCTGGTAAAATCTTTCACCGTGTTTGTCACTGACTGCACCTAGATTTTCTGGGGGGGAAAGTCCAAGTGTGAATGCAGGAAATGAATCTTCAGTGACAAGCTGTACTTCATGATCCTGAACACTGTAAGAAGTTTGTCAACTAGCTGACCGTAGTTTGATGAATCCTGAATGCAATGGATGCTAGATGGGTTAGCAGGTGGACTCTGCTCACTAGCCTGTTGCTCTCAATATTTAAAGTAAAAGTTGGTTTTCATGGCAATATTTTTCATAAGTGGTTTGCCTTCTTCTTAGGATGGAGAGAGAATGACTGGCCCAAGGTCGCCAGTCGGCTTCAGATTTCAGATTTTTAGCCTTCTGATTTTAATCCCTAAATCAAACTAGCTCTCATGGAATTTATACAGGCTAACCAAATTTTCTAAGGACATTACAAATTAAAAAAAGAGAAGGAGAGAGAAAATATTTAGGATTAAAATCCCTTAAAAGAAATAAAACAATAATTGTCGCCTTAAAATATCTAAAGCCAGGGATAAATAAAACTCCCTGCAAAGCAATTCATGAGATTAAAAGAGAAAATTAAATCACATCTTTAAATTTGCAACTTTCAACACTTGGGGACTATATCAGGGCTTTAATCTAATACCAAAACAATCATGAAGAAAGCATTAGGCAAAGCTTTCTGGGAAAGTCATTCCAAAACCCAGGTGCCCTCAATGAGAATTCTCTTTCTTGGTAGCCCCCCCAGCTGACTACAGTTTTGTGAACCATCCAAAGTTAGATCTCATAACAAGAGAACAGACTGAACAGGCAAAGGTCATAATCTTCCCTCATATGGAATACTGCATTTTCATTTAAACTATGGTAATTGCTTATACCTTTGCATCTATATATAAACAGTAGAACATTCAAGGTTCACATGTGCCATTCTCTCCTTTTGTCCTCTTCTATAACGATGCATCTCCTCTTTATTTCAGCACTGCTTAAGAAGCAGCTTTAAAGCCCGCTTGGAAATAAAGCTGTCTGTTCATTAGGGCCTTCTGCCAAATAAGTGAACATAAAGATTCCTGCCTTGAATTGAAGATTTCCAAGAGCAGACCAATGAATTTAGCAATAAATGGCCCAAGCTCACTAACTTCACTTCCTCGACCAAAAACCTGACGCTGTATTCCCACTAAGTGGAAAGAAGATATAGTACATTTATCTCTTTATTTCAAGCTGCAAGAACTCCTTTCTTTAATCTAACATATTAGTTTTACTAGAGCAAGTCGGGGCTCACAGGGGATGCAGTCTTTCACAAGCTTTTCTTACCCATAACGTTTCCTCCTTACATTTAATGAGCACGCAGTTCATACATTTTAGGATAACACATAAATAATTTATGCGAGTATCGTAGGAAAAAATACAATGAGGGGAAAAAATCCATAGATGCTTCAGATGCATAAGAAAAACATTAAACACATTCCTCAAAGTTACCTGGGACTCCTAAACGTCTGCAGAATACCTGATTTGCAAGTAGCATTCATGGAGGAAAAACCTTGCAGAGATAGATCTCACTTGTATGCTTGAAAACGGCTATAGATTAAGCCAAGGTAACTTTTCTAATTATATCAATTCATTCAGTACCACTGAAATGCAAAGAAATATTCCATAGTGGTTATGCAATGCCCCCACCCCCGAGATATTTAGAATTCCACATATTAGACGATAAACACTTCAATAGTCCCATTGACATCAGGGTATGTCAATAATTCAGTGTATTAGTTGGATGCAAATACTACACAATAAGGTTTTGCAGGGAAGGGGGAAGGGGGGATTGCTAACTGTAATTGGGAATGCCAGAGCAAATGGGGCTCTATCTTTTGACTGAGCCCATTGTTGAACTCCAGCCTGAACCTCCGACCTCTTACTTTGCAGGCACACAATAGGCTTTGATATGAGATGGTGGGAAACGGGCTTAGAAGCTCATTTCACATTCAGCTGCAATTCATCAGCTTGGCTGGGACTTCTAGCAGCTTTAATGACCACTGCAATGGATGGTTAAATCAATTTGTGATGGTGACAGCATGGCTGGCCTCTAGACTGTAACAATCCAGGATTACAACTGGCAGAAAGGGCCCTCTTATTCAGATGTGCCTGGTTTCTCCTCAGCATTGAGTGGGAAGAACAGCAGGACAAAGTCTTTCACAGAGTAAGTTCTATGGAATGTATACATTCACTACAGTTGACTACACATTGCCACAGACACTTTGGGAAATGCTAAAGAGCATTTGAATAAGGCATTGTTAAAAAGATAGAGAGCTATAGCTATAGTTAGCTGTAGAATTATAGCAATAGATACAGTAAAGCTTATAGCAATATTTATAGATATAGATAGATATGAAATCTTTTGGAGGAGACTAGCTGAAACAGAAGAAAAATGTCTTTCTGGACTGAGTGGGTGGTCTCTATCCTTGACCCTCTAATTCTCCCAGCGATAATATAAGAATTTTTTTTAAAAGTCTTGAATTTAGGGCACAGCAGTAGGAAGCCAGAAAGTAATGAAAAAAAATAAATATTCATTTTTCATGGAACCAATTGGACAAGGAAGCATTGCTCCCTCTTCTGTTTCTGGGGGAAAGAACGATTTATTTAAAAAATGATGCGTTTTAAAATATATCACTACTGTTTATGTTGTGATTAGTTAGTGTTAAGAATAAAGAGTCCAGATGGACTGTATCACAAATTGTTTGTTCTCTCCAGCAAATTCAAGATAACTGTTGGTTTTGACATGCATACATATATACCCATGAGATTATTATTTTTCAGGCTAAACAATGTTTTTTTTTCAAAGTCTAAAAAAGAAGGGAGGTGGGATATTTAAAAAGGAAGTCAAACAAAATATGGTGCTAAACAATTCGCTATGATATGGCAGTCCATATCTTACTATTATTACAAATCAGTCTTGTTTTCACATATCCATATGCTGATTCATACATTGTCTTTTCTTATTCTCACCTTTGCCTTTTTGGGGATTTCAGTAATTTTATCTAACCACAGCTTTTTCTATCTTTTTCTACTTTTTTTTTCAAGACATTTAAAATTTCTTCATATATATTTCACTGTCAATTCACCCAAGCCACCTCCATGTATTTCCTTTGTAAAGATTGCTCACTTTGTTTTCAAACCTTATTTATTTAGGGTTAATATCTTCGTTTTACCATGAACACATCTTAATTAAGCACTTCTTTATTTTTTTTATTTTTTTATTAATCATATTTCTATGCCTACCACTCTCCGAGGACTCTGGGCGGCTTACAACAATCAACAGTATACTAAATAGCATATTGCCCCCAATCTGGGTTCTCATTTTACCCACCTCAGAAGGATGGAAGGCTGAGTCAACCTTGAGCCAGTGAGATTTGATCTGCTGATCTGCTGAACTAACAGTCAGCTGGAGTAGCTGCAGTACAGCACTCTAACCACTGCGCCACCTCGGCTCACTGAAACCACACATTAACAAGTAGTCTATCTTTTTGTTAAGCAGATACTTACTAATCACCATTACCATTCATTCTTGGATCTTCAGTCACTTTTCTTAAATTCCATCACTTAACAGAAAGGACACAATAACAAGGTGCTAATTTGGACACATTTAGGCTTGTATGACGTAAGTCTCTAAGCAAAACTCTGTTTTACATCAAGCGTATTCATATTATCTAGGAAACATAAAGACTATGTTGTAAACCAATGTACTGCCTGTTTCACATAAATTCAGAGGTATAAGAACTCAAAACACTTGGTTCTGATGTCATAATGAATGGAAGTATGCATTTTAGAAAGTCATAATTTCATTAAGCTACAGTCCTAATATATTCTTATTGGGAATGAATACAGCACCACAAATTTCTGTCTTTGGATCATATTCTTCAAATACATTCACTTACTTCCTAAATTTATTGTTTTGAAATAAGACCTGATACATTATTCACCTCCCCACTTTGTAGTTTTCAAGAAGATGCTAACTAAGACTGTCCTGCTTATTGCTATCAGCAGATACATCCTCTATAATAAATCTTCTTTCCCCATTCTTACAGAATTTAATGTCTTATTTATATAATTGAAATACCCTATTATTTTAATATGCATTTTTACAGTTTTTCATTCTCAGTGCTTGCTCTAGCCCAGATAGAGAGGAACAGGCTCAAACTTAATGCTGAAAACCAATCAGAAGTTATAGTTGGTCTAGAAGTACTGCTATAAACTGTTATGCTATGTTCATAAAACTCCTCTGTAAGCTTGGGTGCAATTCAACGTGCTAACCCGGGTAAAGACCCTGACTACCCGAGGGACCATCTCTCTCTCTCTTTATGTGCTTTCCTTTTTTAAGATATTGTACTGGTGTTAATTGTATAATGCCCAGAATCATGGTTGAGCTGAAAATATTTTTTTTTAATTCTCATTTTGAAAGGGATGGCATCATGCAGATTGGCACAAAGGATACTCAGCTATTGAGCCAGCTTAGAAATACAGAAAACAAACCTTCTTAGACTGACAATCTCTGCAAGTTCTAGTCTTAATTATAATTATAATGTGTGTGTGTGTGTGTGTGTGTGTGTGTGTATCCCTGTAATATTAGCACTCATATAAAAATACTCAAAGATATTTTGATCTTGCTAAAATGTACATTGTAAAGCCTTAGGGAATGGAAGCGGTTAGCATGTGCTAACCCCTAGCATGTGCACTAAAACCTGCCTGCCTTTTCATCATCCTTCTGGTGACAGTATTCTGTTGCCAAAGGCAAAGCTGCAAATGCAAATTTCCCCACTGCCAAATCTTGCTTCAAAATCCAAATAGACAGAACACAAAGCCAGCCAAGTTAATTTGCATGTAAAATCATTCTTTCTCCTTTCTTAGAATATTTTTTTTCTATATTGCTTCCCAGAGAATTGCATCTTGATCTCAACCATTCATATTTTGATTGTGTTCAGAGATTCAGTCACTTGACTCATGATCCAATAGACATTAGTTTTCAAGATTGCAGGTTAGAAGCCATTTCACTGAATTTTTGAAAGCTCTTAAAAGCTTGATTCATCAATGTTGCCTTTTGATGACTTCTTTTTTGATTGCCTTTAATTTTTCCAAGAATCAGAATCTTCTCCAGTAACTTTTGACTTCTCATTGTGTGTTCACGTAGTCAAGGTTTAGCTTCATTATTCCAGCAAGCAGTTTGGTTTTGCATGTAATATTGAAAGATTTGTAAATTGCAATCTCCACTGCCATTTGGATCCCTTACAACTGTACCCCAATTACACTACCAGCACATCTTTAAATGGTTCAATTTAATTTAATTTAATTTAATTTAATATTTAAATTTATATACCGCCCTTCTCCCGAAGGACTCAGGGCGGTGAACAGCCAGAAGTAAAAAACATCAAATACAAAATTTAAAACAATTTAAAAATATATTAAACAATTTGGCCCTTCTTGTTTTCTTCAAAAACAAAACCATTACTTAAATATATGTATTTTTATTCCAATATTCTCTCTGTAAATGACAACTTGTGAAGGTGGTCCTGAAGTTGTGTCAGAAAACCTTGTCCCTGTAGAAGTCATACAAGCTATGACCTGACCTTATGTACTCCGTAATGAACTGGGCACACATTTTCAGAATATCATTCCAAAGTAGTTATAGATGAGATTCACAGTTACAAGTATCATTCCACCAGAGGTGGGTTTCAACAGGTTCTGAACTACTCAAAATCTGGAAATTTTGAGTAGTTCGGAGAACAGGTAGTAAAAATTCTGACTGGCCCCACCCCCATCTATTCTCTGCCTCCCAAGTCCCAGCTGATCAGGAGGAAATGGGGATTTTGCAGTAACCTTCCCCTGGACTGGACTGGGAATGGGCATTTTACAGTATTCTTCCCCTGCCATGCCCACCAAGCCACACCCACAGAACCGGTAGAAAAAATTTTTGAAACCCACCACTGCATTCCACCTACAAAGCCTCTGGACTGACAACAAGGAAACCAAACTGAATTCCATGTAGAGGCTAAAGATCAGGGGTGAAATGCTCCCGGTTCAGACTGGATTGCCCAATCTGGTAGCGATGGAGGCGGGTGGTTCAGAGAACTGATAGCAAAAATCCCTGCCCCCGCCCCCATGCCCAGCTGAGCTGCACAATCATCAAAGGGTTTTTTTTTCTTTTAAAAGCATTTTTTTCTCCGAAAAAATGCTTTTAAAAGTAAAAAAAAAAGCCTCTGATGATCGCGCGGCTGAGCTGGGATCATCAAAGGCTTTTAAAAGAAAAAAAACCTTTTTTTCTTTTAAATGCCTCTGATGATCCAAGCTGAGTTGCTTGATCGGCAGAGGCATTTAAAAGAAAAAAAGTCTCTGTCAATCAGGCAACTCATCTGGGATCGTCAGAGCCTTTTGAAAGCATTTTTTTTACATCCTCTTCGCCGAAGAGGTTGTAGAATTTTTTTTTAAGTTAAAAAAAATTGGCCACGCCCACCCAGTCACATTACCCCACCACCACCAAGCCACGCCCACAGAACCGGTAGTAACAAATTTTAGATTTTACCACTGCTAAAGATGGTTTAATGTATGCCGCTCTGGAAGCATAATTAGAAAAC